GCCACCGCTCCGCCCGGCCGTTGCGGCGGCTGATCACGGGAACCAGGCTGGAGCAGCTTTGCAATTTCTTTAAATAAAGCTCTTATTAGTGCTTAATTTTCCACTTTTGTGGGCACAACGGCCAGTGACATTCGTCCCCTTCCACTTTTTCACGGTTTAATTGACTGAGCCATTAGAGGTGCGGAGAGTGCCTGGCTGCGTGGAGGATGCTGCTGAACCAGATGGGAAATGGGGCCAGGGCTGGGCAAGACATCAGTGTGCGGATGGTGCCCACCACCCACCCCAAATCACCCCCGGATAGATGAGTTACTGTCAAAAAGCCTTGTGGAGGTTCTGGCAAACTGATGTTGGGGCACGTCGGTCCAGAAGGCCAGTACCCAGGTGGCCACGACAGCGCTGGCCGCTGCAGGGCGAGACCCGTGGCTGCACTGGGATGTGCAGCTGCAGCCACGAGCGAGTGTCTGTGCAGAGTCAAAGATGGAGGGAGCCAGGTGAACTCCAAACACAGACCAAGCTCCTCCCTGATGCCCTCTGCCCACCCTGTGCTGGCCCATGACCCCTGAGTTGGAGCCCAAGGATTTCCTCCGTAGCCCCTAACCCCTTCGGCAGCCCCCAACTCCCTTCACAGCCACCAACTCTCTCAGCAGCCCCCCACCCCCTCTGCAGCTCCCAATCCTCTCCACAGCCCCCAGTTTCCAGGCTGACCCCCCCTCAGGGACGGCAGGGTCCATCTCCTCTCCCCACCCCCACTTTGCAATCCAGGACATTTGGGTTACCAGCGCGAAACGCCGTCTAATCTGCCCTCTAATCCCGCAGCCTGGCGCTGTGCGGCTGCATGGGGGGCCTGAGCCGCGGCGGGGCTCCCTGGGCTGGGGGCTGGGGCTGCGCTTCCGCATGTGCCCGGGGGGCCCCTGCAGGTCGGGGGCTTCCCTCACATCAGCCATCACTTGATAACGAACACAGCTCCTCAACAAAGGTCCCTTTGTGCCTCTCGGCTCTCTCCTGCTGGGCTCTTGCACCCAGTGCCAGCACCCAGGGACACCACACGGCCACAGGACGGGGCAGCCCCTGCCCGGACAGCCTCACCGGGCACCGGGACCTTTGTGACTGAGCCGGGGCATGGGGCAGCAGGGCAGTGCGGGGCTGAAGAGGGTGCCCAGCCGCTGTCCCTCCTCCCCTGGCTGAGCTAGGCTCTTGCGGAAGGAGCTCCAGACCGACTCGCGTCTCTGCGGCTCCCTCCGGGCTCTTGCCAAGTCGGGTTGGTCTTTGCAAAGCAGAAAAATGTGCAGAGAAATGTCCCTGTTGCTGCCCTGCATACGCTGAGCTGAAAATGGTGCCCTGAACAGCCAGAGGGGCACGGGGGGGTTGGTTTTGCCTCACCACCACCACTGAGACGGGCAGAGCAGAGGAACAGGCACGTAGCAAATCCTCCGAGGCAGCACCGGTGTCCCCCACAGTCCCCCGCCACGGCTGCCATCCCGAGGGCTGGGGCTGGGGAGCCTGGCGGAGGCCAGACGGGCCTGGGAGGGCGCAGGATCCCCAGTGCTGCATTAACGGAGAGGAAGGGAGATGAAAGCAGCATCTGGAGGACGGCACTTTCCCTGCGCTCGCCCCCCTCCCAGCGACTGGGGGCTGACACGGGGTCGGGGTGCTGGTGGGAGCCTGGCAGGGGCCCCCCACATCCCCCTGAGCACTGCCCCATGCCGGGTGCCAGCCCTCACCCGGTGGCAAGCGGCACCCAGCACCCACACTGAACTGGCTGCGGCCCCACAGGGAGGACACGGCCACCCTTGAGGCCAGCACGTGGTGTCACCATGGGCCTGGTTGACACCACGGGGCAGGGGCTGCCCTCTCCCTGCCTTCTGTCACGGCTCTACCCTGTGGCTGCCCCAGGACAGACCTCAGCCCCCCACACTGGCCCCCCAGCTCCCCCTCGCCTGCACAAGGAGAGGGGGGCAGAGCCGTGACCCCTCCAGCACCCAGCAGCATCTAGGAAAATACTTTATTGTGGAAGTGGGATGTGCAGGAGCTCTGTACGGTACAAGCCAACAGCAGCGACACAGTCACCAGCACACGGACACGCGATATCAGCACCCAAAGCCCAGCCCAGGGGGGCAGTGGGAGCCGGAGGTGGGGGGCCACAGCCACTACATCACCTTGGGCCTGGCGTTGAGGCGGATGATGGCCTGGTAGTCCCGCACCAGGTCCCGCAGCTGGTCCAAGTAGGGGTTGATGTTCTCCTCCAGCCATTCCTCCACTGTGTCGGGGAAGTAGACCCTCTCCAGGTGGGCACGCAGGTCATGGACGAAACTCTCCCAGTCCTCATGGAGCCTGGTGGGGGGAGAGCAGGGGGTGGTCCAGCTTGCTCCTGCGAGGAACCTCAGTGCCGAGCTCAGGACCTTCCCCAGCCCCACACAGGCAGCCGGGGGGGCTCCCAGCCCCTAGCACCACGTACTTCAGCACCTTGCTGCCAAAGCTCTCCAAGTTGCGGGGGTTGCCGAACTGGCGCTTGCGGTGATAGGGACTGAACCAGCCCTTGATGGCGCTTGGGAAGCAGAAGGGGAGTGGGAGACGTGGGGGCCACCCAGGGACAGGGACCTGCACACCAGGCAGGTCCCCTCCCATGCAAAAACTCTTGTGCTCCAGCCCCGTGGCCAGAACTGGCCTCCCGCCGCCCGTTACCTCTCCTCCTCCAGTGCCTTAAGGATGCTCTCCTTCAGGTGGCTATTGACCTGCTCGACCATGTGGTAGATCTCCACGCCGGGGAAGGCTCCTCTGCCTTCACTGGGGAAAGGGAGGAGGAGGAGAAGGTGTGTGTCCAACACGTGGGGTGCACAGGCCACGCTGGGGGTCTGGGGTGGGGGAACGCCAGCACCCCGCATGGCTGGAGGATGCCCGTCCTCACCCCAGGTGGGTCTGGGACTGGGGTATTTGGGTAACCGACCCTCCCACTCCCCTTCTGTCCATCCCTCCTGATGCAATGGGTCCCAGGCTATGCCACAACCATGGCCAGGCTGTGCCACGCACCACGTGCTCTGCTCCAGCTGCATGCTCTGGAAACCCAACGTGTCCAGGACCTTCCTCTTCGTCTCTTCTGTGAAACCACCTGGAGAGGGCAAGGAGAGGGGCAGAAGGGCCCGGGGCCACCCTGAGGGTGGAGGAGATGGGGGATGAGCCCGGCCGTGCAGGCTGGCCCGGTGCTGGCAGCAGGGCGGTGGTGGCTCACCATTCACCAGGGTCTGGAGGCAGATGGCCAGCGAGGGGATGCCAACGGGCAGCAGCTCGCAGAGCACTGAATAGTGATCGTACCTGCGGAGCAGGGCCAGCTGTGCCATCGCCACTGGCGGGGCTGTGCGGGTGCTGGGGAGGACAGGGGTCCCGCTGTCCCTCACCTCTGCCAGCCGGTGAGGACGATGCCCTGGCAGCGCAGCGGGGCCAGCCGCGGCAGCGCCTGCATCACCTTCAGCCAGCTCAGGTGGTTTTTCAGGTGGTAGCTCAGGGGGGGCCAGCTCTGTGCTGGTCCCGTTGTGCCCTTGAAGGCGCTGGCAAACCACACCGCATCGAAGCCGCTCTCTGCGTACTTGGCAAGGAACGGCCCTGCAGTGGGACAGGCACAAGCCACCAGTGCTACCATCCCCCCCGAGAGGAGGCTCAGGGAGGGGTGTGTGTCCCCGCCAGCCCCGGGAGCCTGGCACCGCTGCCTTACCGATCTGCTCAGCCTCAAAGTCAGGTGCATAGAACCACACCACAGGTGAGACGTGCTTTGCTATCCCAGACTCTGCGGGGGGAGCAGGGATGGGGACATGGGTGCCAGTGCCTATGGTAGGAGACCAGGGCGGCCCTGCGGCCCTCCGAGTCCCCCGGCTTGGGTGCCACCGCTGCTGCCCCCGTCCTCTCACCCCGCAGGGCTCCCGCGCTGATTTTCCTCAGCATGTCGTCCCACATGAGCGCCCGCAGCCCCCAGTACTGTGCAGCGATGAAGCCCAGCACCTCCTTGATGTGCTTCAGGTACATGGTCCCCGTGTCGCCCTTGTTGTGGCTCATCCAGTTCTTAGAGTCCATCCCCTCCCCGAGATGGAAGACCTGGGGTTGGGGAGGGGGAAGGGGGATGTTCAGCCCCCCTGGGAACACATCTGGTGCCTAGGGCGAGGGCTGGGGTCCCTGCACGGCCTGTTGCCCACCTCATCTGCGCCAATGTGGATCCAGGTGGAGCGCCTGTGCTTCTCCATCACCTGCGACAAGATGCTCTTGAGCAGGGCCAGGGTGTCGGGGACGTGGGGGTTGAAGCTGTTGGGGAAGCGCTCGACCTCCCGCAGGTGCTGGTATTTCTCGTGCTTGAGGATGAACTGCGTGGGAAGGAGATGTTGGGAGGGGAAGGTTCCTCCTGGATGATGTGGGATGAGGGGGATCGGGACCCCCTACCTCCACGTGCCCAAAGGTCTGCACCAGGGGAACCACCTCCAGCTTGTGGAGCTCTGCCAGCTGCTGGATCCGCTCGATGTCCTCCTCGCTGGGAGGGCAGGGACAGGCTCACCAGGGGATGCGAGGGCAGAGGGCAGAGTGTGAGGGCACTCTGTCCTCCTCCTCCTCCTCCTCCAGCAACCTGCCCTACATGGCCCCAGCCACCCCATGCCTGTGTGGACTTTATTATAGGGACACAAATATTGACCTGGCAGGGCAGGAAGCCATTTGGCCGGTGGCACAGCCCAGTGCTCTGACAACAGTTATCATGGGCACGGGTCCAGGCGGGTCACACACACCCCCTGGCACACCAGGACAGCGCCCCCCAGCCACCTCATCACACAGCCCCAGCTCACCTGTAAGCGTACGGGGACCTGAGGATTTCCAGCTCCCCCTTGAAGGGGAACATGTCCTCGTACTCGATGAGGATGCCATTGGCTCCCAGCTGGGACAGGAGGGGGAACACCTGCGGGGTGGGCAGGGTGTGCTCAGCTGGCAGGGACAGCACAGGTTGAGCCTCGGCATGTCCCTCCCCAGCAACTCTCACCAGTCCCCAGGACACCCTCACCTGCTCCAGGTAGGAGACCCTGGGTGCAGCTCCCTTGAGGTCCAGGTGGACCAACCTCATCTCGGTGGCACTGACGTCCCGGGGGACCTGCTGCCCAGGCTCTTGCCTCAGGGCCGTTATCTTTGCCGCAGGGACCTCCAGAGCCTGGCTCTGGGGACCGGTGTCCTGGCCAGTGTCACCTGCATCCCCCCAGAACTCGCTGTCCTTGCTGACGTGCTTGTGCAGCTCCAGGGTAAAGCTGCAGGGAGCACAGCAGGGCTGGGGGTGCTGTGGGCACTCGCTGCCCCCCAGCACCAGGCCCTCACGTGGGCATCCCCCAGGGTGTCCCCAGGAGGGGTCTGCGGGGACCCTGAGGCTGCTGGGCTCCTGCTGCCAACTCACCTGTCACGGAAGAAGAACTTGATGCCAGCCAAGGCCACGAGCAGCAGCACGACGAGGCGCAGCAGGTTCAGCCTGTGGCTCCGCTGGAAGGCCATCCCTGGGGAGCACACACACATGCCCCAGGCTGCGCGGTGGCACCCCGAGGGACCCTTGATACAGGTGATCCCGTGCAGCCCCACGGAGCATGCCCTGCTCCTCCAACCCCCTGGCACGAGACCCGGCCAAAGGAGACATGGGGCACACCCATCCTGCCACCCTGCTACCCATCAGGGACGTGCACAGCGGGGGTCCGTGTCCCTCCTACCTTGTGTGCCTGAGCACAGGAGCCAGTGGCCGGACCTGCTTTTCCCTCTGCCCGCAAGGGCACACACTCCTCGGGCTCCGCCAGCGCCGGAGCAAACAAGGCAGTGGCTGCAGAGCAGGTCCCCGCTGGGGGATCCCCTCGAGCCGCTGTGTCACCTCCAAGGCGAGGGCTGTGTCACGGGGTGGCTGGGCAGGGTGGCATCACGGGTGAAGCCGGGGCTGGCCAGGCACAGGAGGCAACACCCCTGAGGATGGAGGAGAAGCAGTTGGGGACCACCTGGTCACACACCGGGACTGGGCTGCTCTAGGGACAGGCACTGGCACAGCCAGCATGATGGCAGCAGCCCATACCCCCACCCGGCACCCGCAGCAATGCTCAGGGAGGTGAGTGCCACGGAGGGAAAGGGGCACAAGCTGCTTCACCCACTGAAAAACAACCTTGGAGCAGGGAAGGAGCCCAGCGGGGTCTGGCCACCCTGGATCGGAGCCCAGCAAGCTGCAAACTGATGTTTGATCCCTCACAGGGGGGCTGGGCTGGTTAAACCAATGTTTGATCTCTTGCAGGACGTGTAGGAGAAGCCACGTGGGGTGCAGGGAACGTGTCAAAGAATCATCACAACTAAGATTAATAAAATTCATTTGAAGTCTTTTTTTCCTAATACAATTTTGAGAATCCCCATCCTGAGACGGGGATCAACCAATTTCGATGAAAGGCAGCCCAAACCAAAGGCAGTCTCTGCAGGGCAGGAGGTGGCAGGTGCCCCTTCTCTGCCCCCCCGCCCCCCCTGGTCACAGCTTGAGGGGTTGCACAGAGATTTGTCTCTCTCGGGGGACACCACAAGCCCCGACATCAAGACCCACAGTAGCGTCCTGTGCAGCCGGCTGCGACAGGAGACACTCGGCCAGGCTGGGCACAGCACCAGGGTCACTGCCACGAGGTGGGGGGGGGGGCACTGCCGCGATGAGAGAACACTGCTCCTGTGAGCCCCGAGGAGCAACACCAAGTGCACCTCGTGTCCCCCACTCTGGCAGCCCCCTCGCTGCAGCCCCTCCTCACCCGCAGTGCTGCTCCCAGGTGACGAGGGACCCGTGGTGACACCCCGCACCCCGCTGCGGGCAGCACGTCTCACATGATATCCCCGGCACAACAGGCAGGAGGAAGCACAAATCCTCCTGGAAGCACACAAGAAGCACTAGCATAATTTCAGCTCTTTCCCCCCACTTTTTCACCAGTTCTGGTATGTGTGGTGAGGTGGGGATGGGGCAGAGCATCAACACCCCCAGCCCGGCAGCCGCCACCAGCCCGTTCGGTGAGTTGCCACCCAAACACACTGAAATTCAGGGTTAAATTCAGCGTTGCCAGATTTGGGAGCTGAAACGCAGATTTTGGCGGCTGCAGGTGCACAAGCGGCTCAGCTGATTGCAAGGGTTTTGTTTGTTGCCAGAGCAGTGGCACCAGGGGAGAGCGGCGCTGAGCCGCCCCGCGCCTCCGGCTCTGAATTAGCCCTCTTTCTAGATCCAGCCCTAATCCCTCCCGACACGTTCCTCCTGCTGCGGGACACAGGGTAGCCGGGAGACCCCCCCCCCGGCACATCCTGCAGAGCCAGTGCGGTCAGGCCACGGTGTGGGGCAGGGCAGCATCCCAGCTCCATCCCCATCACCCTGTACCCACGGGTCATCCCGTGCTCATGTGTGGGAGGCAGGGCAGGAGCCTGTTTTGGGGACAAGAGCCTGTTTTTGGGGCAGGCTGTGCCTGTGCTGTCCCCTGCTGCATGGACAAGATGCCTCGTGCTCAGCAGGGGACAAACTCTGCACCCCACTCCCTGCCCTGCCCGTCCCCACTGCGGTTCCATCCTGCCCGGCTCTGGATGCTCCAGGGATGTGCCAAGCTGGGGACAGCTGCCAGCCCAGGGCTCACCTCTGCTGGGTGCACAGAAAAAAAAAGGGGGGGGGGGGGGCCGGGGGGGGGGGGGGGTCCACAACCCCCAGTCACAGGGCAGGTGGGCACAGGGAGCCTAGCACCCAGGAAGGCCATAAATATGCAAAGTGCTAATCACGCTGTCATGGGAACACAGCGCCTGATCGGAAGAGGGATAAATATTTAGACAGACGCTGTCAGCTCGCCAAGATTTGGCGTTTTTAATATATGTTATCTTGTTTAAATAGAAAACAGGTTTCCAGGATTTGAGCCTCCCTGGCACAGCCCAGGCAGGATGGGCGCACGCCGGTGGTGGGGTACAGCGCCAAGGGGTGACGGGGGGAGCCCTGACTCCGCATCCCTGTGCCAGTGGGAGATCCCGTGGCAGCGAGGGCTCAGCTGATTGATGCCGCCCCCCTGACCCGGCAGCTCGCCGCTAGCGCCTGCTATATTTATTAACGTGGCATCTTCCTCTGCCAACCCTTCAGGGACAGCGCTGGCATCGTCCCTGGGAGGCTCGGGAGAGCTCACGGCTCCTCGCAACCGGCCAGCCTGCCTCAGTGCTCTTGGCAGCTGTGGGTCGAGGGGGGGGCTGGACCCTCGCCCCCACTCCACGCACCCCACGGGAGTTTTGCTCCCAGAAACCAGCTCCCCTCTTACCTTCCAAGCTCGGAGGAGAGAAGAATGGAATCAAACCCAAACCTGAGCCGAGTGGCCCTGGGGTGGCAGCGAGGGTTGCAGGTGCCACCGCAGGGTTTGGGTGCCGCTCGGTTGCCCACCGCCCCGTTCCCCAGCCACGGTCGTGCCAAACCCTCGCTCCTGTCGGTGCAGCCGTGGGAAGCGTGACGCTGCTCCAGGCACATTCGTGTTCAGACGCTTCCAGAGCCTTCCTCGGTCAGCCCGGCCGTCGCCGTCCCTCGCACTCAGCCTGTGACACCCCCACGCTGCCCCTCGCCAGAGGCCACGGCGCTGCAGCCCCACGGCCGGGGGGGGTTCCTGCGTGGGGAGGCTGCGGACCCTCCACTCGCCCCCCTCGCGGGGCTACAGTCCCCCGGGGTGCAACCTGCACCCCACAAACCTGGGGCATCCTACGTCCCCCTGTGTCCCTTGCTACCCCTCGGGCACCCCCACGTCCCACGGGACGCTGCAGGCAGCCCCTACGGCCCCGATTCCCACTGCAGTACCGGGAATCCCTGCAGTACCGGGCATCCC